CAGTATAAAGAGGTAAGCTAACCGAGCAAGTTTGAGCGGCTTACATGAGGAACCGAAGTCCTTATTTATAAACCAGCCCGGTACCTCGGCTGTTTCGTAATTGCCCAACACCCAGAAAAAATCGTCGTCGTGCAGATCTTTATCCGGGGTGCCGGTTACAATTTTTTCCTTGCCCGGTCTGATTTTCAGGTAATAAGCTAGGCCGTCACCGGTGTGACCCATTGTATATTGCCTCAATATCTCGGCTAGACCTAAGTTGGTGCCTAGCCGATTGTTCAATTCATGAACGCCGTTGATAATCCTATAAGTGTTGGTGGACACTTGGGTGGGTGCCAGCCCGGTGCGACGGAGGAACTCGGTGATAAGAGGGTTTAATGGGAAATGGAGGCCCCCTTCGACAATTGACAGCACGGTGAAGGGGCATTGGTCTAGTCTGCCCCAGGGTGTTGTCTCCTCTTCAGCCAGTTCGAGATGGACATCGGCCGGGATGCCGACTCCTCTCTGAATGCAGCTAGCGCGGCGGGAGTATCCACTAGGAAGCGGAATTTCCCCATTTGTGGCCGGCTTAGTATAGCCCGGCTGAGGGGGTTGGCACTGTGGTAATTGGTTGCTGCTCGGTCCTGAGAGCCTCAGGAATGACAGTGGTCCCCTTGGACTCTACAGGAAAAGGATGGCAAGTGTAAGTGTGAGCGCAGTCGCGCAAAAGGAGCTGGACTTTAGCTCGGTCATTAAGAGTGCCAAACCACCTCGGTTGTCTATTCTAACTAAGGAGCTCGGTCGCCCAAGCAGACCAGATGTTAGCCCGGTTGAGCGACCAAGTCCTTTTGTTATCTCGGTTTTTGCTGGGATATAGGCAAACATGTTATTTGCTCGGTTAGATTGGTTTTTTGGATCAAATGAAGACCAGGAGCCCGGTCCACCCCAGTTCTTCAGCGTTCTTCAGGAAAATAAAGAACACCAAGAACAGTGGGAGGTTTGGTACGATTTCTATGGCCTATGTTCTAAGAGCTACGTTTTTGTGCCCTAATGTGTGTAATATTGAAGAAAGTAGCAACAAAAGAGGGATCGAAGGTCTTACCAGTGAGGGGCAACTGCTTTTTCTTCGAGCACAAATGCAAAGAACGGCAAACGAGGCCAAGGCAAGGATGCTTGATCTCTAGAGTCAAATAACAGAATGGCAGTAGGAAGGGGATTGAGTTTGGGGGGTCTTGTATGTATAGACGAGGGAGAGACCGCCCAAATTCAAATTCTGGCAAAAACGGCGGGTTGGCTGCTCGAGAACCAATGGCAGCCCGCCACGTGTCCCCATTTATGGCAGCGTCAGGACTGAAGAGACAGGTTGAAGAGTCGAAGAGCCAACCGGGCTACTTTCGAAGAAGAGGACGTCAGCCGAGGAGTATAACCGGGCAAGTTTGCAGACAGTTATGTTAACTAGCCCGGTCGCCCATTGTCATCTTTAAGACCGAAGATTTGTTACCCCGGTCGAAGTATAGGTAATCCCAGTCACGCTCTTGCGGATGGAATTAAGGGGCAATTGAGAGCTGGAATTGGGCCGAGGTGACGGCCGGGCAAGTTGAGAGCCCAATGGTACATGGGGCCGAGATGATCAACTGTCCGCCAGGAGATTGGCTGCCAGAAATTGGGTCGGAGCGAAATTGGGCCAAGCATGTGCCGACCGGACCGTAAAGAAGCTGCTCGACAAATCAGAGCTCGGTTGGACCGAGCTGCTTGACCAGGCAAGGCGGAGCCAGTCAAGCTGAATGACCGGCGCCCGGAAAGGCATGGTTAGCCGAGGTAATCATTTGATTGGCAGTAAGGCCGACCATAGGAGGTGCCTCGGGCTAGGCTTTGCCGAGATGCCGCCTAGCCCGGTCCTCCTTGGGCTTAGCCAGTGAAGTGCTTGGGTATGAAGCACGGCACGACAACGGATAGTGCAGCTCGGCTGCTGAGCTCCAGCTGTGAAGGCAGGTAGTTGAGATTAGGTGGTGTTTGGCAAGGTTTATGCTGACAGATGGGATAGCGGTGCCACGTGTCAGGAGATGACTGGGAGTAGATATGGGGCGCAGAGGGTATATAAGCATGTCTGCGCCCCCCATACGCGCACGAGGAACATTCTGTAAGGAAACTCTTACACTCAAACACTCCACTCTCTCTCTCTCTCTCTCTCTATCCTAAGGTGTGTGCTAACTTGATCGTCGGAGGGTTTTTCTGGCCACACACCGCCGGGTAGCTCACCCTTATTGGCTCACAGGTGATCGGACAGAGACGGAGCTCGGAAGAAAGGAGTACGGGCTTGCCGGAATATTTGCTCCCCGTACAGTATTAATCAGAACTTTCAAAATTTCGATGAAAACGACGAGGAAAAAATTCCTCTAATTTTGAAATATTTGCTAGATCAAGGGCAGGAGAGGATTGTTAAACCCTTGGTTGATGAAATCACCCAAATTAATGTTGGTACTGAGAAGGACCCGTGGTTGGTGCAGATCGGGTCCACGTTGTCTTCGGAGGAGCGCGAGCGCTTAGTCGCTTTATTAAAAGATTTCAGAGATGTTTTCGCGTGGTCCTACGAAGACATGCCTGGAATCGATCCTGAGATTGTACAGCACCGGATCCCTCTTGACCCAGAGGCCTGACCTGTTAAGTAGAAACACAGAAGGATCCGTCCGGACTGGCCCTCAAGATCGAAGAAGAGGTCACCAAGCAAATTGACGCAAGGTTCCTGCTAGTATCTGAATACCCAACTTGGTTGGGCAATATAGCTCTAGTTTCGAAGAAGGATGGCAGAATTCGGGCATGTGTGCACTTCAGGGATTTGAACAAAGCCAGTCCGAAGGACGACTTTCCTTTACCGCATATCGATGAATTAGTGAACTTCACTGCTGGGCATGCATTGCTCTCATTCATAGATGGGTTTTTAGGCTACAATCAGATTCTGATGGCACTCGAAGATTGGGAGAAGACTACTTTTACCATCCCATGGGGGACCTACTGTTATAGGGTGATACCGTTTGGGCTGAAGAATGCTGGGGCAACATATCAACGGCTTGCAACCACAATTTTGCATGACATGATCCACAAAGTGGTTGAGGTGTACATGGACGACATGGTTGTCAAGTCCAAGGATAGAGAGGGCCACTACACCGCCTTGCAGAAATTCTTTCAATAGATTAGGGAGTTTCGGTTGCGACTGAATCCTCAAAAGTGTACATTCGGTGTTACAACAGGGAAAATGCTAGGGTTCTTGATTACACAGAGAGGTATCGAGGTTGATGGTTCCAAAATCAAGACCATTTTAGAAATGTCACCACTGAGGACTGAAAAGGATGTGACAGCTCTTTCTGGGTAAAGTGCAATTCATAAGACGGTTTATTGCAAAATTAACGTTGACTTGTGAACCACTCTTTGGTCTTCTGAAGAAAGGAAAGAAATTCCAATGGGACAGCCGATGCCAAGCTGCTTTTGAACAGATCAAGCAATATTAACAGAACCCACCAGTGTTGTCACCGTCTGAGCCAGGGAAACTGTTGATTTTGTACCATTCAGTGACTGAAACTACAATGGGCTGCATGCATGCACATGAGTCTGAGGACAAAATAAAGAGAGCTATCTACTACCTAAGCAAGAAAATGGTGGATTACGAGACCCGCTACACTTCGCTGGGGAAGGCCTGTCTGGCCTTGGTATAGGCTACCAGGAAGCTGCGGCACTACTTGTTAGCTTACTTTGTAATACTGGTTTCGAGATTAGATCACATCAAATATCTGTTCGAGAAACCGGCGCTTACAGGTAGGCTAGCTCGTTGGGTGCTTCTTCTTTCTGAATTTGATCTGAAGTATATGACGCGCAAGATAGTAAAAGGGAGAGCGATAGCGGAGTTCCTAGCCTATCACCCAGTTGAAAGGGATGAAGCAGTTGAGTGCTTGTTCCCAAACGAGGCCATTCTGCATGTCGAAGAAGAGTTTTGGACAATGTACTTTGACGGAGCGTCAAATAAATACGGGTATGGGATAGGGGTGTTGCTAATAGCACCCGACAATTCCCGTATACCTCTAGCATTCAAACTCCGGTTCAAAGTCTCGAACAATGAGGCAGAGCATGAGGCATGTATCGCTGGAGTAGAAGCAGCTCTGGAACTTGTCACACCCCAAACCCGCCCCTAGATGTTTGGGCATGACCACTTCAAAAACGGACACTTAACCTATTATATATAACATATGGGACCTGAATGGAAGCGTAAATTCTATATAATAACAGGCAAGAAAAGAGCTACATCCATTGAGCGACCACTATCATGCCAGGATCACAAACAGATAGATAATAATATTACATACACATATACAACCCCGCCCCTTGATTGGGCGTATAACAAAAACAAAATTAGAATTTTCAACATTTTATAGACAATCAGAATGTAAGCCAAAACTTCACAAAACGGGTAGGCTTCACCCAAATGCTTGGACACACAGAGGCTGACCTCCAAACGCAGGACCTACGGAATCAAACAAAATACAGAGTGAGATAATCTCAGTGAATAATAGTACTTGAATAATTAAATGTTCAACTTGAATTATACTACAAAGCAGAGCGTATATAATATAAAAGACAGGTAGTTAATCCGATTCTATACTAATGTCAGAACGGCCTTAAGCCCCTTTTTAACTAAAATGACTTTAAACCCTTAAACAGTGCGGCATTGAGCCCTTTACCAGAACGTCACTAGGCCCTTATCAGAATGGCATTACAGCTCTTAAAAAGTTGGCATTAAGCCCTTGAACATATGTGTATGAACCCAAGAGGTGTCTCACACGGATCCTAGAGGTGACTCACATCGTAGCACTTAGTTCCGTGTAGCACTTTGTTTCATACTAGAAATGTCACGCCCCAAACTCGCCCCTAAAAGTTTGGGCATGACTACCTCAGAAAACAGACATAAAACCTGATGAATATAATCTACGGGGCCTGAACGGAAGCATTTAATAGTATATAATAGCAAACAAAAAAACAATAATAATAACAATATATCCATTGAGCTACTACTACCATGCCAGGATCACAAACAGAACATAATGCAGATAAATATACGGTGACGTGCACCTGAAGATAGCTATGTACATATACATATACGCCGATCTTAACAGACATTTAAGGTACAAATTAAAACTTAGTAAGACTCCATAACTTGAACGATCAACAGCTAAGAGCTTAGATACTCAGGGTTTGACAACTGGGTAACAAAAGCCACAGGTGAAGGTTGATCTCCAGGTTGAGTGCCTACAGAAACAAACATGAAATAGAGTGATACAACTATCAAAAACAAGACCAAAGATCGAATTCAAAGGCATACTTGACTAATCATTCATAACCGTAAGGTATAACATTTTCCTTGGCTAGCTCTTTTTCTTGTCATATACTTATAGTGGGTCAGCAAACGGTCATACAGAATTAGAGACCAGTCATCTGGCTCAATCAGTTAACATAAATAGAGTTTTCAGTTATTCCGCGTACATAGATTCTATCAAATCCATTCATAAGAGAGGAAGGAAGAGGAAAGAAGAAAAACATCTAAAATGATCCAAAATCCCGTTTTTAAAGCTGCTGGTCCGAAAAACCCGCTCGAGCGCACATCTTCATGTAATGGCATACAGCCCATGTAACTTGTAATGGCATACAGCCCATGTAACTTGTAATGGCATACAGCCCATGTAACTTGTAATGGCATACAGCCCATGTAACTTGTAATGGCATACAGCCCATGTAACTTGTAATGGCATACAGCCCATGTAACTTGTAATGGCATACAGCCCATGTAACTTGTAATGGCATACAGCCCATGTAACTTGTAATGGCATACAGCCCATGTAACTTGTAATGGCATACAGCCCATGTAACTTGTAATGGCATACAGCCCATGTAACTTGTAATGGCATACAGCCCATGTAACTTGTAATGGCATACAGCCCATGTAACTTGTAATGGCATACAGCCCATGTAACTTGTAATGGCATACAGCCCATGTAACTTGTAATGGCATACAGCCCATGTAACTTGTAATGGCATACAGCCCATGTAACTTGTAATGGCATACAGCCCATGTAACTTGTAATGGCATACAGCCCATGTAACTTGTAATGGCATACAGCCCATGTAACTTGTAATGGCATACAGCCCATGTAACTTGTAATGGCATACAGCCCATGTAACTTGTAATGAGGATGATTTCAGTCTTCTTAAAGTATCAGTATGCAATAATGCACATAAGTTTCCCATGGCCTGATTACAAATTAATACAGGTGTCTCGCAGACAACTGAATAATAATAATAACAACTGTTAACTGAGGCCACATATATCATTACCATATGCTTAATAAGGACAGAATAACCCACACCCTAACGTGAGTCCCATAGGAATGTTACACATTTGCATGTTTGTCATAGGTTCTTAACGACCTTAGGTCCATATGTATCACAATGGAATAATCTTAGTTTCATACAGATACTTGGTTTAAAGATGAACATAATTCCATATATTCATTCAGAAACGACGTGGTTTGCTTATAAATAACAGAGAATTATTATTCGTTATTAACAGAACATAGTCATTTCAAAGTCATACCGATATATGCCAATCTTCTAATGTTCACATTGACTTTCACTCATCATAATTGTTCATGTAACATGTTCGTGTAACACTTACAAGAAACAGAGCGTTAGTGATGATAATCATCAATAATAAATAAAATGTACATCTTCGTACTATTACTCACAGTGCATTGGTGGAGCATTTATTCCTCCCGAAGCGTGTCCTACACACATATGACGTCACACATTAATTCTTTAAATCATTTCCCCTAATTTTCTTTCTCAATTTAACATGATTTATAATGCCCATAACAAGGTTCATTCGTAAATTTTTAACATTATTGCAAAACATCCCAGAAATCCAATTCAACTTGTACATGCATAATTCAACCCACCAATTCCATGATTCTATTTCCAATTTGGGAAAAATCATTATTTTTCATCACAAATTAACCTAGGGTTTCAAGGAAAATAAAGTTTTCCATAAAAATTCAAACTTCTCATATCATGACCTTACATCCCAATTTTCTCCTTGATTATACATCTATGGGTCATATCTCACCACCTTAACTCATCAATTGAACCTTCCATGCTTCAAACCCGAAATTCCCAAATCTCATAATTTCCTCCGTATGCTCAAAATGAAAATTTGTACATTTATACAATGAAAATACCTCAAATCTAACCATGGATGTAAGTATTGAAGAGAAATAGAACCCCTACCTCAATAATCAAGCAAAAGAGTGAGCTTGGAAAGAATCCTTCGCAAATCCAAGTTCCAATCGGGTAAAAACATTAATCCTCCCTTGTTCTTCATCCTTGATGCCAAAAACCATGGTGGATCGTGATCAAAGTAAAGGAATTCAAGGGTTTGGGGGCTAGGGTTTCGGACATGGAAGAGAGGAAGGAAGAGGAAAGAAGAAAAACATCTAAAATGATCCAAAATCCCGTTTTTAAAGCTGCTGGTCCGAAAAACCCGCTCGAGCGCACATCTTCACGCTCGAGCGTACATGCATTCAGCATAGATGTCAAACTTCAAATAGGCATGACTCTCCCATCCGGACTCCGTTTTAAGTTGTTCTTGTGCTCAAATTGAAGCCCCGAAAATAAGCTTTCCAATGGTTCCAACCTCACATCCAAATTCAAAGTGTGGAAAAAGAAAAGGGCAAAAGAGTGACGGCTGATCGTAGACAAAATATTCAAACTAAAGTTTTTGATCCAATCTTACTCTACCATCATATTACCACCACAATCAAGACCCCAAAATAAAATAACGAGGTTCCAAATACACCACTACAATGTCAAGGGAAATCTTACTTCTTACGCTCGAGCGTCGCTTCAACTGCTCGAGCGTGCACAGACCAATAAAGCAGTCCGCTCGAGCGTCAACTTCTCCGCTCGAGCAGAGATTCACAACTCCCAGAATTTCAGGCCGTCTGCAAAATTGCTGAGAACCCCAAAAGTCCGCTCGAGCGTCAAATCCTCCGCTCGAGCGAAGGGAAAAATTCTGGGTCGTCACAAGAAATCATTACGTCTTAAAGACCGATCAATTCATATCGTGTTATACCATAGCATAAACGGATCGGATAAATAGAAACATATTCATATACATTTTTCATTAAACTCGAATCAGAAATAGAAATTAGAGTTCATGCTTGATCATAACCCACCTGTACAAGACCGTCAGTGGCACAATCCGTACAAGACCGTCGACGGCAAAACATAATCCACCCGTACAAGACCGTTGGTGGTACCATCCGTACAAGACTGTCCATGGCAAAACATAATCCACCCGTACAAGACCGTCGGTGGTACCATCCGTACAAGACCGTCCATGGCAAAACATAATCCACCCGTACAAGACCGTTAATGGTAAAACATATCTTGTAGCATACTTGAACCACAATATTATTACCCCTGGGTATGGGCCTTATGCTAAGGATGACATGCATACTTTTACATATATGAATAATCATTCATTAAGTCATAAACTAACTTATTAGAAAATGGAGCATTACTTGTTATATCATGTCATTATCGTGCGCTTAACAAAATAGAATAATTCATATTCTTATGTGGTCACATAATGATGTTAAACTTTTGCATTCATGTCGTAAATTTCAAATAACTTTGAATTCATATGTAACATAAGAAAGTAACTTCAGATTCATATGGATTCACATACCTTTCCAATTATTCTGATACTTCGAAGATGAACATAAATTCTCTTTATTCATTAAGAAATAACATGGTTCACTTGAGCCATTAATCAATAACATACAGCTTTGTTTAATCATTCATATATGTTAACATGGTTGACCCGCAATTAACAGAGTACTAATGGTAACCATGGTATCAGTCACATGAGTTCATGCAGTTAACTTAAGTTTAACAGAACGTTCTTGACAATTGTTAATGAAAGGTAAGCACATTTTACCGACTGTATAATTCCAGAGATACCGGAATACTATAGTTTCACAATGCTCATATGTTCCATTTGTTTGTCATAAATCACCCTAGCTATCTTGCAAACAACAGAAAATTAGTATTCATTGTCAACAGAAAGTCAATACCATCCCACATAATCACCACATATGGGCTGCTCAATAATGTCTCTAGATTCGCCAATCAACATATTGTTAATTTAATTACTTACAAGGGTCATAATTAACAATACTTGAACGTGCGACTATAGTACTACTACTCACAGCGTTCAGATGCTTGGTCCGCCCCTGCAGCTGACCCTACAGAATACATAATAAACATAAAAATCGGGTCACATATACTTTAGTCCGTTCTTAACTCGTTTAATTCCCTTTATACCAAATTACACATCAATTCTCAATTAACATCATTAACTCAATACACTTCTCCTTACATATCTCAACACAATCCAACATAATTCACGCTATTTTGCATGATTTAACTTACTGCAACTAAATACAATTCAACATCTTTTAAGGTGAAGTCTTAAATTCTCATTTCATCATTTCACCCCAAGGCTCTTATCACCCATGACATTAATAATCTTGTTCCCCAATTTTCATCTTACATAATAGCATGATTCAGAATGTTCATAGCAAAATTCATTCGCAAATTTTAAACATAACTTTCAAGTATAACCAAATTCCAATTAAACTTGTACATATGTAATTCAACCTACCAATTTCATTATTCTACTTTCAATTTGGGCCAAATCATTGGTTATCATCATTAATCAACCTAGGGTTAACCTAGGGTTTTAAAGAAAATTGGGGGTTTCCTCCTTTCTTAGTTAAATCTTCAAATCAACAATTACTATAGATCAATATGCTAAAAACATTCAACATCCTTTGAAAATTGGAGTAGAAGTCCCATTTGTGAATCAACAACATGCCATTAATGTTTCTAACCCATAATCAACTCAAAATTCCAAAATGTCAACAAAATCCCAAAGTGTCAACAAAATCCCTTTGAATCATAAACATTCAAGGCTAAGAGAACCCCCTACCTCAAGAAGCTAGGTCAAAAGCGTCCTCTCAAAAATCCCACAATCTAATCGGTTGGAAAAGTTGATCTTCACTTTTTCCTCATCCTTGATGCACGATCCATGGTGGCTTGTTGGTGAGAATAACTGAAATCAAAGGTTTGAGGGTTAGGTTTTCGGACCTAGGAAGAGAGGAAGGAAGAGGGAAGAAGAAAATATATGAAATGATCCAAAAATCCCGTTTTTTAAGCTGCTGACCCGTAAAACACGGTCGAGCGTCTATCTTCCCGCTCGAGCGTACCTGCTTCCAGCACAAAATTCAAAACTTCAAACAGGTATAACTCTCCCATCCGGACTCCGTTTTAGGTCGTTCTTGTGTCCGAATTGAACCCCCGGAATTAAGCTTTCCAGTGGTTCTAACCTCACATCCCAATTCAAAGTGCGGAAAAAGAAAATGACAAATGAATGATGGATGATCGTAGAATAACTATCCGAATTATATTCTTTGGTCCAATCTTACTTTACCATCATACCACCACCTCAATCAATACCCCAAAATAAGGTAAGAACATTCCAAATACATTAATAAGAATGTCAAAAACGAGCCCACGTGCCTCAGAAGTTCAAACTTAACCAGGTGACCCGCTCGAGTGCCCAACCTTGCGCTCGAGCTCGAAGACCAATAAATCCGTCTGCTTGAGCGACCATTATTATGCTCGAGCGGAAAATCACCCCTCCCAGAATTTCAACCCGCCTGCAAAATTACTGAAAACCCCAAAAGTTCACTCAAGCGCCAACTCCCCCACTTGAGCCGAAGGAAAAATTTCAGATCGTTATTGTAAAGGTCATCAATTCCAATCGATATAATTGATTTAAACCACGTTAACCCCATATTAAATAAGGATGACTTCCTCTACGCATTTTGGGGTCATTACATTCTCCCCACCTTAAGAAGTTTGGTCCTCCAAACTTGATTCACCTTGTCACAAGTCTAGTTCCGTCTTGGACATATAACATTTCTCAATCATTTAGCCATTCACAATTCTATACCGTCAATTTCAATGGAGTTTGCTCCCAAAATCACAAGTAATTCCACTCCACTAACTAATTGGTAACCCAATTGATAATATACTTAATACCATCAAGACATCGTCTCATTATTCATAACTCGGTACACTTTAATTGATTCCTCCACAAATCTTAACTTCCACATAATATAACATCTTAAGGGTATTTAGAAATAAATTCATTTCAAGGAAACATTCATGTCATAAGCACGTTTCAAAGGTATAAGCTTCTTACAACAATTAGACCCATAATAGCAATTAAGTGCTAAATCAACGACTTCGGGACTTTTTGCTCATTATCTGAATGAGACTTCTCAGTTCAAATCAAATCTCTAATAAACTCCAAATATCAACTTAAATTTCATATCAAGGAATTGCATAATCAGAGTAAAGTATTAGTAAAATCAATTACAAATCAAGCCTTAATGATCATACTTCCAAATTACAGTAAGGTAATAATCATTTAAAATCCATACTGGCTTAGAAGATTTCAAAGTCAACATTATAACATCAAGCACATAATACATTTACCATAAGGTTCTTATATTCTTGTTCTATATTTAGTAAAATGATCCTATCATAGACAAAAACATTTTCCAAAAATATGTAATACCCCTCCATAATTCCATACAATACGTTGTTCAGAGATATCACTCAGAAGCTTATCAAACCTTTCAAAGATATCAGATGATG